CCCTCGGCGGGAGCGCCACCGCGCTCCCAAGTGGCGCACTGTAGCAGTGCGCCACTGGGCCGGCCCTCATTTAATGTTTTATCTAACCATGTTTCAATAATTACCTGTTATTACTGTAAGATAACCTTTGCTACCTACTTTTGTAACCTGAATCGGCAGAGAAGGATTCCATCTATGTCCTCTGTTTTCCCTGGCTTTCAGATCATTCTACATGGATCCTTCTGATTGTGATACATGCTTCTTGGCAGAATTTGTATTTACACAATAAAATAATAAAGGGGAAAATCCCAATTTGATTCTCAATATACATTCTAAGCAAGGATAATGCTAGAACGAAAAGATGGTCTTTACAGAATGCTACAATCACCTGAGCACTTGTCTTTCTAATACCTTTGGCATTACTTAGCCCTACAATGAATCAAGGACCTTTGAATTAGGGACTGACAGGTGACATATCTGAATTGACAGTCATATCATCTATCTATCTATCTACATACAGTGCTTTACAGTTTAGAATATGCTTTCACATAAATTGTCTGATACACACAAACCTGAGAAGCAGGCATCATCCACATTTTAAAGAGAAGAAAACTGAAATTCAGAGACACCATATGACTTGATCTAGGTCATGCAGCTAAAAAGAGACCAAATCAGAACAACTGAAGAAGCCACTAAGGAGCCAGCATCCACTATCTGGAAAAATACCACAGGCAAGAACGTCAGTGTAAACAGAGTACACAGAGTAAACCTACATCTACATACAAAGCTTTTCATGCACACGGGAGAAGGGCAGAGTCCTGCCGAGATGCTCAAGATCTCCACTAAAAGGATCAACAAATAACCATTGCAGTTTTGCATGTGATAACCATGAGCTGATTCAATAGTTTCCACTAAACTACCAGTGATTTTATCTTCTGATCGCTGTGCCTCCATAAGTGTAATCAATAATAGCACACGGGAAATTAGTACTTGTCGAGCTCTTATTAAAATGTTTTATATTGTTTTAATACAGACACAGCCCACAGGGCACCAGGGGCTACAGAGGATCAAGGCTGTGTTCAGGCAGACCAGGCTGAGTCCAGGCTCTGCCATTCACAGCAGTGAGGCTAAGTGCTCACCTCCCCTGGCCTCCTACCATGTAAGTAGGCTATAGTCAGGACTGGGTAAGACATTGCATGTGGAACTCCAGGACCTGGCCACAGCAGGGCTTCCAGATGGCTCAGCTTCTATTTCTCTTCATTATATCAAAAGAACAAACATTTGTACAACTAATATAATATGTAAAGTGCTTTCAAATAAAGAAAAATTTGATCTAGTCATACTTATTAAGTAACATGTTCAGATCAAGAAATATTAGACTTTCAGGTGAATTGACTTTCTAATAATTTAGAAACAATGTAGGAAGAGTTTTGATAGTACCTAATACCTTACCCCAGGCAACGATGTTATCGTTTTATTTAGATGAGAGCATTCAAAACACAAGAACTTCTACATTATGGATTTTACTCACTAATATGTAAAAAAAAGTTTGTGCAATGATATGCATTTCTCTTACTATTGAGGACTCTCTATTTTATCATGTGAAAACACAAATTCTATTTCATTTCTCCATATGTATTTCTTTAAATGGAGGCCTCTATAAATGGTAGTAAGTTCAGCATTTGGAAACTTTTTCCTTTTTTTTAAAAAAATAGATTTGAGGGATGTGGCCCTTAAACCTTATTAATTCTATCACTCTCCTTTATTATTTGTTTTAAGAATACTTTGACTTCTTCTAAGTATCATTCATGTCTAAAACCTCCAAAGTTTGCAATTAGGTCCTAAATACTGGAAATATTTTCCTCCTGATATATTTCCCATACTTACAGTTACTATCTCATCTCCACCAAATTCAGATCAAAAGCTGATCTACCATGTGCTATATGCACATTAATAATGTGTGGGACATCTTGTTTGTGCTAAAATGAGATAACAGATGTTGAAGTACTCTGAAAATTTAAAAGCATTATGCACATTAAGGCATAATTATACAAATGTGACTGCAACATTTATTAGGGATATGGAAATGGGGGAGCATTTTAGAACTTTTGGGCAAATGAGTCCAATTTAGACTTATAGGCTACAGAAGCTATGTTTTCAACAAGATAGAAAACCCATTGTTTAGATGTATTTACATCATTACATTCAGTAGTTTAGAAAATGCTGTTAGTGCTGAACTCAATTTTGTTTCTCACGTATTCATTTTAGATAATTTGATGTCAGAATATTGCTATATCAGAATAAAAGCAAACAACAGCCACAATATTTGCAAATCCTCTGCATTCCAAGACAGGTATTTTAAAATATTGGTTCAAACTGAAAACAAGCAATTAAACACCACTCTAGTGTTACATTTTAAATATTTGCTAACAAAGAAATTTGATAGGTGGGATAGACATTAAAAAATTGATCTCAATTTAACTTTAAGCATTGGGTTTTCCAAGTTAAGCAAAGCACTTTCAAACATTAGTTGAGCAGACCTTAAGAAGGCAAAACTCCTCTAATTATCGTAGCCTCCAAGGTTTCTGGCCTTGGGCTAGAATTCCACATCACTCTAGTGGGTTCTCAGTTAAACCTGAAGAAGTAGAGGCGGTTCTAAGAACATGAATCTGTCCTGGTGATCTTCTCTCAACTGCATTCTCCTTTCTCTTAGTAGGTAAAAAAGAAAGCCTGAAGGTGGACTTCTGCATTTTAGTGGGAAACAGACACAGGTTAGGCAAGCATTAACCAAGCTGCAGTAAACCTCTTGGGAGACGCCCTGAAGGAAAGAACCACAGGAACCGAGCTCCTGGTTCACAGGAGGTGTAACTAGCTGCTTGCTTACAGGAATTTTAATTGCTAATTCAAGTCTTTAGGAAGGCTCAACTTGATTGGCTAAGCATATAACTTCAGGAAAGAATATGGTCTACAAAGAGCATAACAGGTTGTTTAAAAAAAGCCAATGGATTTCAAAAAATATTACAGCAATGACCAGAAAAAGGAATAAGAAAAAAAAAATCAATTGACTGGTTGAGTGGTGGAAAAGTGACATAAATCGAACAGTTGGACAACAAATTTACTGAGTATTTTATATTTTGGCAGGTTAAAGTTTGAAACGGCACTATTTTTAAGAAGCACGCGTTCATTTTCCCATGATTTTTGGTCTTGCTAGACTAGAGAGCCTCCTCAAAACAAATTTAAAAACTGTAATTAACACAACCTAAAGAGTTGTAATCCCAGAGTCCCTTTTTCTTATGGATCAGATTACCGTAGTGCTATCTCCTATTTTCTGTGCAGCAAAAGTGGGTTTATTGATTGGCAGGATTTTAGAAAGCTTCTAATAAGCTCCTGGTTGCTGAATGACCATGTCTCCATCGGTCATTCCATCGCTGTCAGTCGTACACATGAGGTAAATACACACACTCTCACAGAAGCTCTCTGTAGCTCACCACATCCCATCACCTCGCTTTTCTCACCCTTCTTTCCACTTTTGGGCTTTTCTCACCTGGCCAGATAGAAATTCATTCAATTTTCTCAAAGCAAGACAATTCCTGACAGGGGTGTATTTCCGACTGACATAACAGAGAAAACATTTGGGGTATTCAAAAGACGGCACCGCCCCTGCTTGTGAATCTCAGGAGGAAAGGAAAAGAGCGCTTTTGCTAGGTTAACTCTGAGTGTCCATCCATCGGCCGAAGAGTAATTAATTCCGTCTTGAAAAAACTTCACTACGTGGAGAAATTTCATAAATTATACAAGCAGCTGAGATTGGTAATTCTGTTACCAAAGTTGACAAGTCAACAATGGCTAATGTCATGGAAGAACTATCCTACCTTACCCACATGATTCAAGGTTAAAACAAATCATGTTTCTAGAACGCTGTCATTAGAGAAATTTAACCACATATGTGATCCACAAATATTAACAAATAGGAAATAAATGAACAGCTTGGGAACAAAAGCTTTCAGACTCCCTTTTACAAAGAACACCAGGGAAAACAGTGATAAAGATTAAAAGACAATACCTAACTACAGGGAAAGGGAAATTTATTCTTTTCTTGACTCTCCTACATTTCCCACTTCTCTTCAATAAGAAGTTCTCCATAGCCCCAGCATTGCCATTCCCTGCCCAGAGGACCTTGAGAACAGTTCAATATTGAGAAAACTGAAAGGAAACACAATATCCCAGGCCCTCTCACTCCAAGGCATTTGCAGGCAGAATAGTCACGGCTTCCAGATGCTCACATTTTTCTTTCATGAGCTACAGCATAGAATGTTTACCAAAAGCTTTTAGAAACAGAATCTCACCAAACAGTTGATGAAAATATTTAACAACCAATGCAAAGCGATTACAGTCAAATTTTCACCTTGAGATTCTCATCTTAGGTGTGGGAGGCAGAGAGAAGACTCTTAGCACATCAGTGTGAACCTAGAATGAGGATGAAAAGAGTTGATTCTGCCAACAGTTGTCAACAAATCCACATCTCTGAATCTCGGTGAAACTGCACAGCTTGCTGCCTGTCTGCACGTGCCTTAAGAAGAGCACCACTGTTTGGTTATGGCTGACTCAAGTTTCTCAGCAGTGAGCAGAAGACAGGCTAGACAGGGACATCCATACCAAAAGCATGGAAAGGTACGAAAGTGACAGGTGTCTCTTTTCAATTATTTGTGTCAGGCAGCATCATCATTTCCAATCTTTCAGGGTGACAATATGAGAAGAGGCAACTAGCCCCAGTAGCACAATTCTATACAAACGTGTAAACTTGGGAGGAAATTAACAACATTACACAGAGTTAATCCTTCCCCCCAACGTCCCCCCATTATCCAACCAATGTACATTTCATAATCTAGACTTTTATCATTACTCATTTTCATTATGACTAGATCCTGACACAGTATTATTCCCTTTAGGGCAAAGACTTTCTGGGTGCCATGAGAGCAGACATAATTTCTTCAGTAAGAATGGATAATAAGGATGTGTGTATACACTCTATTCCCAGAAATTTCTGTTTCAGTCTAGTTCAAGCCAGCAGGAAAAGAAAGGCACGGCATAAAGTGGTAAAATTCTGGTGTGTGTAGAAAACAAGCATCCACCGTAAGCTACTGTTCAATATTAGAATGCATTACCTGACATGGGTGAAAGGCAAACAGATCAGAGGCTTTTGATACCTTACCTGGGCCATCTGCCTCTCCAGTTTTGATCGGGGAATATCATCAAAGTAGTTTTCATTCCTTCTCCTCCTTGCATCGCCCTGCATGATAATGTGAGGAACGTCTAGGGAGCCACCAGTGGTGTAAGTGCTTTGGCTAAGTGATGGAGACAACTGAGGAGGAGTGTGATTACCACTGGGTTCCTGAATGGAAATACATCATGAAATAAATACCAAGTTCTGTGGCTAACCTCTGGTTTCAAAATTGAGAAATACTGACAAGACAAAATGTGGGGGTGGGGAGCTGTTTTTGAAACAACCGCCAAGGAATGGATGATATCCCACCACTTTATCAATGGCATTAACTAGTCAATGCTTTTTCCCCTAAGCATTTCAGGTCAAAGGTTTCGAGAATAAAGAATCAAGCTCTGTTTGCATAAATCAGCACTATGGATGATCTCAGGAGGCAGGCACACCTATCTATGTTGGGCCCCTGACACTAGCATGTGTGTTTGCAAGAGAAGGGACTGGGTCTTCATGGGGGCAGAGCATCCTCACCATGGTAGACACCATGACGAGAATGCTAAATGGAGATCCAGTCTGTCCTGATCCTCCACCAAGGGGTAGTCTGACAATAGGGCCGAGAAGAGGACACAGTATAGCAACACAGCACGTCACACGCACAGACTGCAGAGCAATGCTTATCGTGACAGAGGATGCTTTTCAATGGCAAAGACGACTCAAGCAGAGGGGCACTGGCCAGGAGTAAGAAAAGGGGTGCAGACAGCTGAGGATGGGGATCGTGCTGCTTCTCCAGGCCACTTCTCCCCCAGATGTCCTGGACCTCCTTTGACAGATTGAGATCCTGCACTTTTTCTTGGGAATGTCTGTCTTTGATCTGTTTGTTGTTCCCTTAAGTCCCTTCTGGGGAGTCAGAGTGAGAGGTTCGGAAGGGGGAGAGAGCAGGGTCAGCAGCAGGAAGCAGCTCCTCTAGAGAGTCCTTTTAGGCTGATTCCACTGACGGTGACTGTATCTTCCTCCCCTCCCTTGTTGCAAAATGAAGGCAAGACAATCATCCCTTTCTAGCCTCATTTCCCCCAATTTATTTGAGGTTCCTCTTCCTGAGGGGAATAATGAGTCCTATTTCTACTTTTACTGCTCCCAGAGCCCTCGAGTAGCCTCCAATATCCAGTGTATCCCAATTCCCCTAACAGTCAGTTTTCCCCATGGCTCCCTCCTGGAGCCAGTCCTCTTGCATTCCCTGAAATCTTTTGTGTGTTTCCTTCTCCTTCAAGGCTGAATCGGACTGAGGATCCTAACAGCGTCCCTCCTGCCCGCCCCTCTGCTATCCTGCAGTCACTCTGCTGCTGGCTGAAGTTCCCTGAGCAGAGGTGGCTGCTGCAGCTCACCGCTGGATGGCACTTGTGGAAGTGCCGTGCTGTGTCCGTCATGTCTGTCACTACTTATCCTGCCACTCGCAGAAAGGAAATCGGAGTGGGAACCCTCCAACGTGCCAGGGGGATCTCAGCGTTTTGGTGAACTTTAGGAAAGTTCCTGTGGGATTCGTGAAAACAAGTGACTGTCAGCTTCTCCTGTTGCTGCCATTTGAGAGAAATCACCTCTCCTGTTTTCTCTTTCTCTCTGCCCTTTCCTTCTTACCTTCCTGCCCCTCCCTCCTGTGGTTTCTCTCTAGTTTTTCTACCCTTAATTCTGAATCATGGCTGAAATAAAGAAATATAGTTTATTAAGTTTTAGATTTTCTATTCTTAACTTTTGAAGTGGGTAAAGCTGCATAATTTTCACTTCTTGAAATACAGAAGACCCTCAGGTTAATTTTAAGTGGATCTTTACTTAACTGTGGTCCTTGATCAATTTTCTTTCTGTGGGTTGGAGGAGTCTGACAGAAAACTCATTTCCTCTCTCTCGGCATAGATGGGAGTGTGGGGATGGGAGCTGAGGGAGTGGTTCTTTAAGGGCGGTGGTTTGTCAGACTGAATTCCATTGTGGGCATATATCTAAATCTCAAAAATATATATTTAACCGAGCGAGAAAAACAAATCTTGTTTAATTAGAACTCAATCAAGAGGGAGATTGTTTTTTATACACAGTAGGAAAGCTATATGGAAAATGGCCTGTACTTCCTGACACACTGCTTCAGTGTTTTATTGCACAACGTAATTTTTGAGGATCAGGGTGGAAAACAGAATAAAGGTGCTTGGCACTTACCCTGAGGGTGATGGACCGAGGGGGCTTCTGCGGGGGATCGTCGTGCAGCCTGTCTCCCAGAGATGCCAAAATACGTTTCCTGTGGCCAATCAAATTGATTTTTAAAACCTGAAACAACATATGCTTGGGTTAAATATTTCATTTGAGAAAAAAATAACTTTTTATATGTCCTAAAACATGAGGAGTGAAAAGAGAATTGTGCCAAGATCCCCCTGTACCGTGAGGGATGTGGTGTGACATCAGGGTGACTGCTCAGGTGTGGAAGGACAGGAGCAGCACACAGAACGTCTGCAGAGGCAATGCACTGGGGCAGGAAGAGAAGGCAGAGACGGGTCACTTGTACCCGTGCTGCCCAGAGCCCCATTCTCTACGCAGCAGCCACAAGACCCCTCACAAATTCTCACCAGCTCCTGTCACCAAGCAGCTGAAAATGCTCCAGTGGTCCTTATTGCTCTTGGAATAAAACCTGAGTCCTAACCTGGCCTCCAGGCCCAACTGGACTTGCTGTTCTCCATCTCTCTCTATCCATGTCCATGCCTCTCTCCCCTGTATTCAGGATGCTCAGTCGCACTGGCCTCCTCTGTGCCTTCAACACCCCACACTTATTTTCACCTGCTCTGGTCCTTCTGCCTGGAATGTTCCCCCTGACCCTCCCTCAGCCTTGAGATTTTCAAATAATCAGTGACTCTCATCCCTCTGGACGTTGCTCAAATGTTGCCCCCTCAGAGAGGCCGTCCCTGGCCTCCTTGCTAAAAGAGCTGTGCCCTCAACCCCTTTCACGCTCTACTCTGTGATCCTCTTTCTGTTATTCTATGAGAGCTGTATTTACAGGTTCAGTGTTTGTGTTCCACCCCTCCCATGCCAGCTCGGGGAGAGCACAGCACCCATTGATGTTTATCACTATTACTTCCCAAACGCCTGGAGCAATGCTGGAAGAAATAGGGGCTCAATGAATATGAAAGAATGAATGTTAGTAGAGATGAAAGTAGCAAAAACTAGGGTTAGAATCAAGCATTACCTGCTTGAGGTAGACTCAGAGTCTGCCCAGGGTAGTATTTTGAGTCTGACAGTACCACCCAGGGTGCTAAGAACTGCAGAGACCCTCAGTCCCCAGCCCCATTCCCGGTGCTTTACAAATGCTACCCCTTTCAATCCTCCCAACATCTCTATCTTCTGGATTTACAGATGAGGAAACTAAGGTTCAGAGTGGTTAAGTCACCTACCCAAAAACTAAAACATGGTGGATCTGAGATTTAATCAGGTTTGCCTGATTCCAGGGCTTGTTTTTCTCCAAGGTATATGCTGAAAAGTTGGGTAGATCTCCAAATATTGCTGACTGTTTAAGATAAAATATTATATATCCATTCCTAAAAAATGTATTTACCCCTTTCCTGCCCATGTATATAGTCCCAGGCTATAACACTTCTCATTGGGTAACTAGTTTCCAAAGTAGCTATCCATCGTATAAATTTTTTCCCTCTCCTTTCAAGTTTTAAGGCAGAGGGGTGGGCATTTCTTTGGCATGCATCCTATGCTACCTTTTATTTTTATTTGCCTATTTGTCAGTTAGCCTATTGGCCTTTCCACGTAAACTGATTTAGATTTAAACTAGCACTATATACCCTATTCCTTTTACATTCACCCTCTGACTCATGCCTGTTGATAATGGTAGGATGGTAAATGTTAACCACGGTGAGTGTCTACATGCACCATGGCCCTATGATTTATAAACTCCCATCTTCCCAGGCTGATGAATCCTAATCTTTGCAAGTTTGTTTTATAAAGCAGATCCTCTTTCTCATAGATCGTTTTAGTTGACTTTCTCTGGACCTTCTCCTACCCTATTACAACTGCTTAAGTTTTGTTGAAAAAATGACTCACAATAATCCAGGTATTAGTGCACCATGGCTTTACATTTGAGCTGGACACTGTTTTTTTGCTTTTAATACCCCCTTTAAAATATCCTTTCTAAACACAACTGATTTCTGGCTGGCCTTTTAGCTGCAGTAGGAATAACTAGGGACAGAAGTATACACTGACTGTAAAATTGCTTAATTTTGTTATAGCCGACAGTTCAAAGCCCTTTAATCTTGGAAGGATGGTTTGAATTATTTCTCCACAAATTCCTACCTTACAGTTGTCCATGCAGAAGCCCATCTGCCATCCTTCTGCCCACTCACATAGCCCTGTGTAATCTTTCTGCATTTATATTAACCAGCTTGGCATTTCACTACCTGGAAGAGCTTAGCAGTTTTTGCAAAGCTGGAAATTTCACTATGCGCTCCTTTCAAATGATTTATAAATATGCTAAGTGTATGTGCAGTCCCAGTACTGATTACTTGTAGGCAGCATTGTTTATGCAATCCACAGAAATGCCTTTAACATTGTTTCTTTTTTTTAAAGCATCAAGATCAAAGAATTCCCCCATCTCAGAAAAATACAACATTAACCTTTTCAAAGGTATTTTGCAAGTCTAAATACACTACATTTTCTTATTCTCTTTTATTCTCATGCTCAATTACTTTGCCCAAGGCTTCTATTGGACATAAATTCCTCCCATAAAATCCCCACTGCCTTTCTCCCAGTAGGTAATTTGACCTGATGCTGTTGGTGCTACCTTGAGACCCTGACTCTTGGTAAGAAATGTTTTTGTAGTAATAAAGACACTCAAAATTATTCTGACAAGTAACTGACACTAAAGAACAACTATGGTAAAATTGCCTTCAATGGTATAACCTCCATCATTGCTTTTGGTTTACTCTCCCACAACGCAATTTTGGGCAAGTTACTTGACTCCTCTGATCTGTTTTCTCACCTAGAAAGCGAGAAGGTTAATGCCAATCTTGAACATTGCTGGAAGGAGAAAGAGTAAAATGGTGAAAATAACCACAGTGCCTGGCACAGAGAAGCAGCAACCTTCACAGTGTGCTTGCTCCAGCTAATGAACTCTCAGGATGCATAGAAATCCTGAGCCAGAAGAACAAGGATTTGGTCATTTTCATAAAGTCAGTCATGTCAAATATGCTAGTGCTTTGCATGAAGAGATTTAGCTAACGCTGGAAAAACCCTTATCAAAGTTGCTTATCCTGGGGCCGGCCTGGTGGCGCACTGGATAGTGCGCTGCTTGGGAAGCGCGGCAGTGCTCCCGTCCGAGGTTCGGATCCCACATACAGACCGGTTCCCGCTCACTGGCTGAGCGAGGCGCGGGAG